AATTATAATATCTATATTATTATTTTAGTTATTTATTTATTAGTAAGCTCCGAAATATACTAGAATAAGCAGGCTATAATATTAATATAAAAGCTTTTAAATACTTTATAAAGTACTATAAATAATACTAGTAATATAGCTAATTACCCGGATAATTCAAGTTTAATCTAAAAGATAATATTAGCTTTAACTATTCTATTATTATTAATATTTTTTATATTTCTCATAAGCCTATATTCTATATTATTAATAAAGGTACTTAATATTAAGCCGGCTAATAGCTCTAGAATATTAGTATAATATATATCTTAAATATATTTAAATAATATTAGATTAATAACTATTTAGGCTCTTCTAATTAGATTATAGCAGATACTAGAAAGTAGTTTACTAATAAGAAGTTTATTTAATTTATAAATACTATAGGAACCAAAATTAAGATTATTTCTATAAAAGCTTATAACTTTATTAGAATTATAGAATACTATTATAGCCTAATCTAATATATCTATTTTATTATTCTAGTTAAAATTAATAGAATTAATAAGAATACTATACTTTAAATAGCTTTTAAGGCTATTAATAATTCTATAAGACCTAATAGTATTATTTTAATTCTTTTAGCTTATAGTACTTTACCTTAAATAACTAAATATAATATCTTATTACTTACTATATTATAATAATTAGTAGTATTTAAGAAGGTAATAGTAGAAATTTAGAAGCTTTAAGCTAGATATTAAATTATAAATATTTTAAATATCCGAAATAGTTCTAATATTACTAATATTTATAAATTACTTCTGAATTCAAATATTCTTATTTAGTATAAAAGAAATACTAATTAATCTAGTAATTGAAATAGATTATATAAGCTAGTAGCTATTAATAGAAAGAACTATATACTAGCTCTATTATATAGTAATATTATTTTCCGTTTAATTTTTATAAAGCTCTTTTATATAAGAGATATTAAAGTTATTACTAATAGCCCTGAACCTGAATCTATTTCTAAACCTAATAATAAGACTAAAAGTAATACAGATATAATTCCTTTTACTATTCCTGCTATTCTACTAAAGTATAATAGAGGATACTCTTATAAGACCCTGGATATTATGGTATTCCTATAGAATAATAAACTATATAAGAATTCCCGTTAAGTTAAAGTTACTAGCCTTCTAGAAAAGAATATATTTAAAGTTATTTCCAGATCTCAGATACTAAAGGAAATATATATCTTTAACTTCCGGTTTATTAATAAGATCAAGAATAAGAATATAGAAAGAGAATTTAAGAAATCGAGACTAGTTATCTAAGCCTATAATAATAGTAAGAAATATATAATATTAATATAATTACTTACTATTTAATATATTAGCTAGAGAATTATCTTTAGTATTACTATTATAATAATAAATATTATAGAATTATATTTATATAATATCTTATAAACTTATATCTAATTAATAACCTTACTTAATTATAATTTCTATATTTACTCACTTTATAAGCTTAGTAAAAAGCTAAATCTAAAGAATAATTCTATTCTAAAAATTATAAAACTATTATATAATATATTAGAAGCAGGAAACTACTAGTTTAAGACTTATTATTCCTATTATATTAATAAGCTTTCTATAAAATAATTAATTTATAACCCTTACCTCCTCTATAATAAGTAATTCTTTGGAATTATTAGCCTTTAAACTAATAATACTTTATTTATTAGAACTAATAATTTTATAAAAGCAAAGTAATTAAAGCTTTATAAGACTAAGTTTTTAGTTAAGAAGTATAAATTCCTTGCTTTTAACTATAACCTTAAGTTTAATAGAAGTATTATCTATATAAATACTACTGGAATTACTCTTATATAGAAATACTAGTATAAAAACCTCTAAACCGTTTCTATAAAAAATACTATTACTATAAATAGTAGAAGTACTATTTATTAAAATCTCTCTATTAAGAATTAATATATTATTTAATATATTAAAAGAGTATATATTATATTAGTCTATTAACTAGAAGCTTTATATAACCTATTAATTACTACTGAAGCTATTAAACCCTTAGAAACTAATATAAAGGCACTTAATAAGTGTATTTAATAGCAAATTAAGAATGCCGCTAAAGAACTGAAATTTATAAAGCTAGTAAAAGAGTTCTTATATTTAATTATTTTTATAGATATTTTATTTATAAATAATAGAGATTTCTTTTCCCAAATCGGATATATTCTAGTTCTAGTAAATAGAACTAGATATACTAATATTATCTACTAGTTCTTTACTAAATATAAGAGAGTTATTAGAAGTATTCTAGCTTTAGAACTCTATAATATAGCTTATAGTTTTAATATAGGTACTTTAGTTAAATCTATAATTAATAGAATACTAGAAATGGAATTATTACTAGTTATCTATACGGATTCGAAATTATTATACGAATGCCTTATTAAATTAGATATTACTCGAGAGAAATACCTAATAATTAATATAATATACTTTTATTAGATATATAAATAATAAGAGATTATAGAAATTAAATAAATTAAGAGAAAATCGAATCCTGCCGATTTTATAATAAAATTAAAGCTATTAAATGCCCTCAAGTACTTTATTAATATAAATACTATATAATTAAATATAGAGAAATAGGTTAAATATAAATAAAGCAGGAAATAAATATATAAATAAAAGGATATATATAGAGATTCTCTTAGTATCTGGTATCTGGATATCTAGTATCTAGATATCTAGTATCTAAGTATCTAATACTAGGCCGGATTAGGAAATTAAGTATCTAGGTATCTAATATCTAGTATCTAAATATCTAATACTAGACCGGATTAGGGAATATAGATATATAAGAAAAAAAGTTATATATAAAAGGCTATGGCTTTTAGTATATAACTAAAACCTTAAAAGTAATATAAGTATATAGAGCATTTGAGAAATCTGGTATTAGGCCGAATTAGGGAATTTATATATAATTAGAGAAAAGTACTATTTTCTGTTTTTCGAATTTTTTAAAGAGTTTCTAGTACTAGTATAGCTATTTCTTTGGGAGTTATATATATAGTTACGGGATACGAGATACGAGATATAAGTAATGAGATATAGGTAATAAGATATAGATAATAAAATATAGAATATAAGATATAATTATATAACCTCGTATTCTATTAATAACTCGACTAGTAGACTAGACCCCTTTAGGCTTAGCAGATTTAGGAATTATATATTAATACTATAATACTATAATTCCTATTTCTAAATAATAACTTTACTAATCTTATATAAATAGTATTTCACGAATATATAATAGTACCATATATTACTAGTAAACCAATAATTATTATTATAATATAAATAATATTTTTATATATTTATTTTTATTAAATTAGTTAAACATAATTAAAATAAAATAAAACTAGAGATTTTTTTCGAAATAATATAAAAAATATTAAATATTTATATAATTTCTTTTTCAAACCGTTTTTAATATAGCTATTATTTTAATTTTTTAATCTTCTTTATCTTTACTAATAGCTAATTATTTTTTTTAAAAAAAATGGTTCTTCGAGTTTTATATTTATATTTTCGGGATCTAAATTAAAGAAATACAAATGTTATTAAAATAGTTAATTGGGATAGGAAATAGTATAACCTCAGTTTAGTACTACTATAGTACTATTATAGTAGTGCGGTATAATATAGCTATAGTCTAGTTTAGTAGATAATATACTATACTGTAGTAGATGCGGTATAATTATAGTTTAAGGGGCAGTCTTACTTAAAATTACTAAAGGATATTAAGTAACTTATAATAAATAGAAAATAGCCAAACCTTAATATAATTAAATAATTCTTTCATTATTAAAAGAGTAAATCTAGGGCTTTTAAATTAATTAAAAATCTTAATTTTAGGCGTGATAGTTATGGAAATATATTTAAGTGCTTAATCGGAAATTCTTGAAGTTATTTACCGAGTTCCCGCTCTGGTTCCGGGAGAGAATTTTTCTTCAATTCTAGCCTCTCTTGAATTCCTCTCAATCAAAATAAGAGATATTGCGTAGCTAAATACACGTACGATATTAATTCAAGAGTATAGTGGTTGGAAAAGATTTAGCAAACTAGCTATTCTAATCTTAGCCGCATAATATTGGATATCTTGAGTATTTCTGTTATATTAGCTGATTCTAAGCGTCTGTTTTCTAGCACCAAGTTACTAATTTCGGATCTACGTAATAAGCTTGGTATGGATATTATTAAGGCCTTTGAGGTCTTGAAATCGTGAAATAAAATTAAAGGATGAGAGGCTAAGTCAAAATAGTTAGAGAAAATCATTAATATTAAAACTAGTGTGATCAGGTAAAGTCACGTGCAACTGGCAAACTGCAGTTTAAACCGCGGTTTTGAGGATATAATCGTAGTTCAATTTAGTGGAGAGATGCCTTAGTTTAGTGTACTTAAATCGCACCGCAGTTTGATAATAAAAATCTGCACCGTAGTCTGAAACCGCAGTTTGCACTATACCCTACCCTGTAGTTAACTTACTTATTCGAGTTATGTTTCCTTGGGTTTGGTCAGATATTTGAGATTTAGTATTGAAATCATTATCCATGGTGAAGAGGTGTGCGACCTGAAGCTCGCCATGCGCCAGAGTGCTTTGTTGGTGCTAATGTAGCGGGCGTCAAGATAACCAGAAGCAACCCATTACCGTAGCTAGAAAAGATAGCTATATAGTAGCGCGTTATCTATAATGTAGATTAAACGCTTAATTCAATTCTACTACACTTGCAATATTTTGTCTGATCCGTTCTTGTTCTGCAAGTACGGCGAGCGGATTAGAAAGTCGCGCAAGTTCCGATATGCTCGTAGCAGTAGCTCTCTAAAAATCGGCAGGCATAGTAATGAGGATTTTGATATTGCAATTACTAGCTTCAGTAAGACATTATGTTTAGGTTAAAAAAATCAGACTCCAGAATTGGTACCAAAAGTCTCACCATCCTCCCTAAGATACTTCTCCTCGTCTGTCGTGAACTCACGCCCGAGTGCCTTGTTGCGGTAGGGATATCTCCCGAATCTCTCAAGCAGAGCCCTGTGCTCCTGCTCAAACTGTATTCCAGACTTGATGAACTTCTCAGCCAGTACATCACCCTGTCTGATGTCTTTCAGCTGCTGCACAGACCGCCGGTCAAATTCATCGTGATCTTCAAATGCCTCAGAGTGCTGCAAGGTAATGTAGAAAAAGCAGCCGTAGACGGGGGAGTGTCTAAAGTTCTCGCTGCGATCAAGCCCGTAGACATCAAAGCTGCCGTCCGGACGATGCCGGTGCAGGACGCAGTACAGCAGCGCACGTGCGAGGCGGTCGTAGTGCGCGTACACCACGCCCAGCTCATCGACTTTACGAAAGATATTGCGTGGCATCTGGTCCAGCAGTAGCATCATCGCCAGAGCCACATCGGCAGGCCGCAAATCGCAGCCGCCGCCGCCACTGCTGCTGTCATTATGACTGCTGCAGCGTTGAATCGCATTGCGAAAGGGTGCAGAAATGTGGAGCGCAAGAGCCCGCTCCTCCGCGTAGCCCTGGAACGAGGGCAGCTGAAGGCGATCGGGCCCAATGGACGCGAGAGCGCCCGCGCTCAATTCCCTACAAGAGGCGTCGAATATCGCCTTGCTGTCCGGATCTACGCGGCCAAACCACTTGAACAGAAGCTGCGGATTTGCCGCCGTGGCGCCGTAGGGAAGCCCCGCAAACCAGAAGCGCAGGATGCGAGTAAATAGCGGCTGGTTGAAGGTGGTGGACTCGAGTGGCGGCAGTGACGGAGGTGTCGGGGCATTATCAGAGCTTCTAGGGGTGAGATGGGGCATCGGGCCGGCTTGGTCTTCTGCGTAGCTCAGGAGGAACAGCAGAGCAAGTGAACGATTAGGGACAGAGGTAGCCCCTATGTGTTCTGGAAATGCCGGACTGCGACTTCTTTCTTGTTCTAGATTCTTAATAAGCGTATAAGACAGTGTTAGCGTGTATATACGTATTAGCCAAGATCAGCCACACGAAGAGGCTCTTGTATATAGACTTGTTGTGCCAGAAGTTTATGGGGCGATGACAGGTTCTGTGGAAAGGCGTGGCACTGTAAGAAGCATGAAATATTTGGAGAGTACGAAGTAGAGACTAATGTGTATTTTCTGTGTGTCTGCTTCCCCTTACTAAGGCCCTGATCAATTAAAGCGTTAGCCTGCTCGTTACGTTAAATTTCTTGTAAACCACTAAAATAATAAAGGTAAGATAAAAGATTTTGACGTTAATAAACAGAACTACTCGCAGGCAATTCCGCATCCGGTTCGGGCCAGCTTTCCATGCTTGCTGGTGACACTAATTCCGACATTCCAGTAACTCCGATATCAATTTTTTAGTCTATATATTAGATTAAAAATTAACTATATATTTAATAAAGATGATTTTTTTTAAAAATAATTATAGGCTATACTAGACTCTATAATCGCGCAATAGAACATTTTTTATATAATTACGTAGTATTATACTATAAATTAAAATATGATTTTTAGAATTCTTTTTAAAGAGAACTTACTTAATACTAAAGCAAAAAGATATTAAAAATCGCGGGGCATTAATTATATTAATTACTAAATTAATCGCCACGTATTAAATATTAAGAAAACAGATTAAAGAGCTTAATAGAAGGCTTTAAAAGATACCAAAATACAAAATAAAGCTATATTTTTTTATTAAAAAAAGGCTCAAATATAAAAGGCCTTAAAAGTAATATTATTTTCTTCTCGAAAGCTTTTAAATAAGAAGTTTAAAGAAGGGGCCTAAATTAAGGCTAATTTAAAAGTAATTATTAAGTAATTATTATGAAATAAGAATAATTAAGATCTTTAAGCTAGTAATTTTTTTTTAATAAATAAAGAGAATTACAAATAATATATTATTTCCTTTATAAAAGGTTTATATAATATTAAAGCTAGAAATAATAAGAAAGAAAAGAACGAATTTACTAGAATAAGAAAAGAGCTAGAGGTTATTAAATACTAATATAAAGTAGTAATTTAAAAAAAAGAAAAATAAGATTAGAAGAAAAGTTAAAAAGGCTTAAAAGGCAAAAGATAATCGAAAAAAGAATAAATAGAGAGCTAAGAAGAATGCAGAAAGAGATAAGAAAAAGAGAATAGAGAATGAGGCTAAGAAGACTAGAAAATAAGAAGTTTTAGTATAAGAAAAGAAAAGAAGTTCTAAGGCAAAAAGTATAAGATTAAAGCTATTAATATTTAGACAATACAGGGAGATATATAAACTCTTAATTCTAATAGTAATATATAATTTAATATTAATAAATATGGTAATTAGTTAATATATTACAAATTAATTTCTATAAAAAGCATAAATAATATTATAATTTTAAAATGAATTATTAATAATTTATATTAAAACCTTCTTATATTTCAAAAGGTTCTATTAGGCGATTATAGACTTGATTGAGGGCTATAATAATCTAATTCTATTATTTCGATAATTTAATAATTAATATTTTATCGCAAATGTCGGAGTTGGTGATATGTCGGAGTTTGCTGGGTCCGACTTGCTAGTGCAAGTCGGCCCCAGCAAAGCGAGGAATTGCCGACGGGTATATCTATTTTAGTAATAAATCTCGCGATATAAACGGCGAGTTAATAAAGCCTTAAAATAATGCCGCCGCTTTACGAAAATTTATTAAAACCTTTTTATTATTAAATAAGTTTAAACCAACACTTAGCCGAATGCTACTAATCCTACAGTTCTCGAGCGCCCCGGAAATGGCTCGAACAACCCTTATCGAGCGTTCGAACGGCCGAGCGATAGCCCTGCGGGCCTCAAACTCTGCAATCCAACAGATTCTTTCGCGTGCCGAAACGAGCTACCCGTTCGTACGAAAGGGGGTCTCAGGAAGTCAAGAGCACCCCCCCTGTAAAGGCGGTGAGCTTAGTGCCGTGCTGTTCTAGCACCTTCTTCCTCCACACCATCAATTATATACTGCTCTTACAGCTTCTAGAGCTATCTACAAGCCAAACACAATGGGCTACGTTCGCAAAACACTCCGCAAAGAGCACGATACCCCTAAACGATCACGATTCCGGTGTCTTGTTGAGCAAGGGCTCTCGCAAGCAGAGGCTGCTCGGCGTGTCAATGTCAAGCGCAAGACAGCGATTAAATGGCTACACCGACAGCCTTCCGATCGACGGACAGGTAAAACGAGGACGGGCAGACCCCCTATTATCTCAGATGAAAAGGTGGAGGAGATGATTAGGTGGATGACAGGCCACTTTGACCGGCGAGCAATGCCCCTCCAGGAGATCGCACGAGAGCACGGTATTAAAGCCTCTGATAATACGATTTTAGCTGCCTTCGCCCGTCACGGATATCACCACCATTTACCTGATTGCAAACCCTTTCTCTCAGAAGCTACAAAACGAAAGCGATGGACCTTTTCAATTGAGAATTGGGATCGGGGGAAGGAGTACTGGCGTAAGGGCATTTATTACGATGAGACTACAATCCAATCGAATTTACGACGACGGCTCAAAATCCTTCGCAAAAGGGGAGAACGACGACGACTCGATTGCATCCAATTCAAGTTTACAAGTGGTCGGACATCTATACATTGTACAGCGGCGATTGGATATAACTTTAAGAGCAAGCTTGTGGTTTTGTCGATGGAAGGAGAAGGAAAGGGCTTTACACAAAAGAAGTATGAGGAGCAGATCTTGCGAGGGCTTTTAGGAGAGATTTGTACGGATAAATACGGTCAAAAGCAGAGTTTAGGGGCTTTTTGTACGGACGAAGACTACTTTATAGTTGAGGACGGAAGTAGAGTGCACGGGAAGAAGGATACAAAGAAGAACCAAGGTCTTTGTAATAAAGCACGGGTGGAATGCTTTATATACTCGATCGATTGGCCACCCTCTTCCCCGGATTTGAATCCAATTGAGAACGTATAGAGGATCTTAAAACAAAGGCTCCGGAATAGGAAACCGTACGGTGGGTAGTCTTTGAAAGACCTCCAGGAGGCAGTCCTTGATATTTGGGAAAAGGAGATTACAGTAGAGGACTTTAATAAGTATATAGACTCCCTTCCAGAAAGGCTTGAGAAAGTCAGATTCCGGAAAGGTGCACAAACTCATTGGTAGAGCATTAAAGCAGCATATAAATTATACCTAATTTGGATGTCTTGGCAATGGCAGAAACATGGGGGGTGCTCTTGACTTCCTGAGACCCCCTTTCGTACCTTCCACTAGTTTCCACTGGTGGTTCGTGAAAGCGACCTGGCCATACTAGCGACCTGGCCAAGTATTTCACATAGTAATTTGTATAGGAGGTACTTCTAGCTAGCTGGTCTGTGCTGGTCTGCTACAAATTTAGCGAGGAACACCAATTTTGGGGGGTTGGCCAGGTCGCTAGTATGGCCAGGTCGCTTTCACGAACCACCAGTGGAAACTAGTGGAAGGTACGAACTGGTAGCTAAACTGGGTGCGAGAGCTCTGCAGCTCCCTTAATTTGTGAATATAGGAATTGGTCTGAGTCTTATTTATTTAGTAAGGGCCCCTAGACATACTTCAGCCCGAGTCAAGCCAGCCATGCGACAGCGACCTGCTTCAGCGCTTCTTGAAGCCACTCCTCCTCAAATGGCACATTATTGTCAAAGCCGTGGTCTCCAGGCTTTACATCAAACCGTACAGACGTACCTGCACTATTGATTCTGATCAAACGGACCAGCTTTTCGCTTCCCTCGAGCGGGACCGCCGTGTCATCTTTTCCATGCGATATCCACACAAATTTCGGTAACTTGGCGCATCCTCTTTCCAGTGCTCGAAGCACGAACGTCTCTTCGCCCTTCCCCCAGATGATGTGTGCGAATCCATTCTGCATACCACCTATTGCGATGGGAAAACGGTCGTATCCTCCTTGGGTTGTCACTGCATTCATGTTCATGCTGGCCAAGTACTTCTCGGTCTGATCTTTAGGGAAAGGCGGCATGCCCATCATAATACTATTGCCACTACCGACCTTGTACCAGTCACTCTCAGTGTCGACCATAGGCCATGCCAGAATAGAGGTTCGGATCTCTTGTGGATAGAGCAATGACAAGTGCAGCGCGCACCACCCTCCTGCACTCTCACCACGAATGGCTAGCTTGGACAGGTCAGGAGTAACACTGCGCTTCCCCTTGAGCAGTGAAGGGAAGACTCCGTGAACCCATTCCCAGAAAGATACAAGGTCTGCTAGAATCTCTGGCGTCTTCGTCTCTGGCGCCAAGCGGTAGTCGGGTACGACCACGATCGCCTTGTGCTTGGCGGCAAAGGTAGCCAGCCACGGTCCACAGAGCAACGGCCACATCCTTCGGTGGCCGGCAATCTGGGATGCAAATGTCAGTCTGGAAATGCTAATATGTTGGTGCCTGCTTGATCAAGCAAAATGCTGTATTGTACGAAAGTGGAAATCACGCATGATGATGGAGAAAAGACGACGCCGCATACCAGACTCCCGCCATGCATGAGCAGAAGCATGGGTAGATTTTCACCAGGTTCGATGTCCTTCGGAACATGGACATCAGTTTGAATCGGTGTGTCCTGAAACGTCTTATACGTGAAAACATCAGTAACGAAAAACGGCGCAAATGGATTCGGCATCTGAGGTATCGGTGGTAATGACGACATTGTCACTGGTGGTGTCCTTAGGGGTTTATCGCAGGATCATGTACATCAGAAGTGGCTAGAAGAACTACGTGGGTGAGGGAAAGGAGAGTTGGCTCCTCCGATTTTTATATGCACGGCGGCCTGGTGAGTCCTGGCACCCGTGTGTTGAATATATGCAAACCCTGATTTGATCGCGCATGTCAGTGCCGGGATGGAGGAAATAGGAGGTGGGGCGAGCGCGGGTTAGTACAAAGTAGGTGAATATTCAGCAGTGCATTCTTAAGACACTAAACTCGCAGTATCGCATAATCTGCTTCCCTCCTGCTTTGGTGATGTCGGGACTTCGGCGGATCAAGGAAGGTCCATTGTTCAAAGGGTACTAACTAACGAGATGTGACGAGCTAAATACACCATGGTACGGAATATCCAGGGTTGCGAAATAAGTTAAGTGTTCTAAGTTTAAGTTAAGTTAGTAAATAAAAAAATTAGATTAATTTAAGTTAATATTAATTTATTTTTCCATTAAATTTATTTTTTGATAATTAATTAATATTAAATAATAATATAAATAAATTCGTTTAAGAATTAAAAATATTTAAAAATATATAAATATAAATATTTAATGTATTTAAATATATATATAAATTATATTGATTTTTAATTATTTTAAAAAAAAATGTATAATAGAAAACGTAATTTAATTAATAAAAGCATTTAATATTTAATATAATTAAAAATTATTAACTATATAAATAACTAAATAAATTATTAATATTTTTTTTAAAAAAAAACATATATTTATATATATATTTATATTAATAATAAGTTAAGTTAACTTATTTGTAACCTTAGAGATATTCCACTGACTCACGTGAGAGTTCTGACAGGTGAAACCCTTTTCGAATTTTATTAGCTTTCTTAATATTGTACTTGACTGAATACCACTTCCTAGGTTTGCACCTTATGAGCTCTGCCTTATATTCAATTCTATAGAAGTCTAAATTTCTGTATATACCTGTGAGACCTCACCTTCATACTCCTCGTAGAGCACTCTACTGGCGTCCATTCCGACTTTCTGCTGAAGTAGTTTAACAAAATGACTTGTCATGTTAGGAGGTCCAGCAACATAGCATACTGTTGTATGCTTAAACTTGAAGTTTCTGAATATATCTAGAACATCTGCGCCCATCATAACTCGTGGTTCGAAACTCTGCCGCGGCACCGCAGCTTCCATCAACCCTCTACTTGCATAGCCGCCAAAGAAAAGGTAGAGATGGAATTTCCCCTCGTGTGCCTTGCTGATACTTATAAGTCTCTCAAGTCCAAGAACATGTGAGATATTGTAGTATCCTTTGACCCTGGAAGCATACAAAAAGTGGACCTCCTGTGGCACTGTATTTGTCCCAAAGATGTGTGACAAGATAGATACGAGCGGACTGAAAGTTTGTTAATCATACGCTGGGCAAGCTTGCTCAGACAGGCTTACCTCACACCTACACCTCCAGCGAGGAAAACAACTCTGGTTATAGGAGTAGTGTGTACATTATTTGGTGGCCATACAAAGCTTCCTCCGAAAGAGATGTTCAGCTGCGTGCCGACAAGTAAAGAGACTTCTGCCCGCGGTTGTTGTATTTGAGGCGCATTTTGAATGATGACTTCAACGTGCGGCTTGGACCCTGGCGCAAGATCCTGAGCTGCCAATGCCGCGCCTGGTACTGATATGATACCATATCCTCTTAACACTTCTAAGCCGTCCAGATGAAGATTAAGCCATTGACCTGGAAGAAACTTTGATAAGTTAGTGCCAGTAGAGCCAAATAGAGAGATAACACTGACATTTGCACCAATTTCAGCAGCGTTAAAGTCAAGCCGAAGAATTCGTATAGATTCGTTGACATCCGTAGCCCGAGCTAAGGTGACGGCATGTAACATAGGGCCTGATTGCTTCCTCTAAAGCTGTGCTTCTTTGATTATTAAGAGAGATACTTTGTATCCATAGTCTTACCTTCACTGAAAGAGAATAAGCTGAATATTTTTCTGATTTAAATTTGGTGTTCAATTGCTAGCAGTAACGTCTGTCCCTGCGTGGCAAAAACCCGGAGTGCCGAAAACGGCCAATAAGATCGCAAGGATCCGCGGATTTTTCTCCACAAAGTCCTCTTTAAGCCAACCACAACGAAAAGTTTTTATATTTAAAGTTAGAAATAAGTTTATTACACTATTTCTATTAATATAGCGATTTGTGAATTTTGAAATTTGTCCAATTTTTCGGCACGCAGGGACGGACGTTACTTGTGAGAAGTGATGCGGAGGTTGGTAAACCCGCACAGCTATTAAGAACCTCGGATATGGCGGAGTAAAACTACATGAGGGGACAATTGAAATCTTTGAGAACGCTAACTTAGGTCCCGTTTCCCTAGTGCTTCCAGCGTCACTTGAGTCCCTCGTAGCTTGCGACCCTTGCAAAGGGGCCTGCCAATGCCTATTGCAGCCCTAACCGGCTCGATCAGGGATGCGAGAAGGATAGGAATCGATGATCATTACGGAGTACAAAGTACTCCGTACTAATCCTAGAGATATACAGAATGGGCCAAGATCCCCGACGCAGCTAAATAATCGTGCGGTGCCAAGTGATCCCGCGTTCATCTAAAAGCGATTGCGTAACTAGTGTGGGCTATGGGACTTTGCCTCGTTAGCCGAGGCTGGACGACAGACCTCTGCTAGTAATAATCGTTCGGCGGTTCCCACCTACAATTCGCCTAGCACACCTTGTAGGTGGGGATAGCGATACGCAACGAACAGCGATACGCAAATCGCACCAAAATTTGTATAGGCAAATCGGGCAGATTTGCATCACAATAACGCCTTAATTTTTTAGTCTTAAAATTTACTTTTTTTTAATAAATAATATTAAAGTTTATTAAAATTTAGGTTTTTAATTTTATATAAGAATTTTAAGATTTTAAGATTTAAAAATATATCTTATATTTCGAATTTAAATAATTATATAATAATTTAATTAAAGTTATATAATTAGCTTTTATTATACCTTTATAATTTTTGTTTAATTTATTAATTATATTTTCGGTAATACGTTTTTTATATAAAATTACACTAAAAGTGGGTGGCCGAAATGGGGAGTAGCTGACTTGTTTAACTAATTAATACACCCTTTCAAGGTTTATCACATAAAGCCTAAACAAAACCAGTTTTTATGTCTTGCTACAGCCATCTGATTCAGCCAGCGTATCTATATATTGCTTATAATTTAGGTTCAACCATCCCTCTTTTCTTAAGGGTACTCTCACCGCTAACTGGGCTCATAACTGTCAATCAATCAGAACGGCAAAAGTTCCGCACTTATAACCATCTAGGTTATTTGACTAATTGACACCTGTGGAGTAGCAAGCAAGCGAAGCGAGTCTACTTGCGATTCTCAGCATTTCGTAACCATGGCCGATGCCCAAGTTGCAACAGTGTCCAACGAGCTGCCAGAGACGGACAACTTGGCTATTGGATTTTTTAAGGAGATTATTCTCGATCAGAATTGCCGTGATCTGATCGAGAGGTATTGTAAATTGCCCTCCGATCAGGTGGTGCCCCATCTCTACACCGTAGTAGGTCACTCTAATATGCGATAGTCCTGCATGTTGCAGCCAAGCTTACTGTGCAGTAGCGCGAAAAAGCATGGAAGGTCTTCCCCTGGCCATGCGTGGGCATGTGGTCCTTTGTTGTTCCCACGGTCAATACATTGCCTCAGTATTCCAGCATCATCAGCCGGGCAAAGGAAGGAGGTCAGAGGATTCTCGACCTCGGTTGTGCTCTTGGTCAGGATGTCAGGCAAATGATCGACGATGGAGTACCCGACCACCTCGTATATGGAGTTGAGCTTGAGGCAGGCTTTATCGACTTGGGGTATGACTTGTTTCTTGACCGTGATACGCTCAAGTCGCAATTTATCTCGGCAGACGTACTCGAAAAGTCCGGCCCTAATCCGGAACTCGCAGCATGGAACGGCAAGATCGACATTATCTATAACGGCCGTTTCTTGCATTGTTTCAGCCGAGACGACGGACTCGTGGTCGCAATGCGCATGACGAAGCTGCTAAGCAATCGCTCCGGATCTGTCATCGTTGGCGAATGCTTGGGAGGCAGAATTGACCGAGAGGTAGTAGCTCCAATTGGCAAGCTCCACCTTTACAGCGTCGAGTCATTCAAGGAAATGTGGACCCAAGCTGCTGAAAAAACGAAAGTAAAGTTCAAGGTCGACGTAAAAGCCCAATCAGCAGGGCAGGCGCAGATGGCACACTTTGGTGGAGACGTGGTCAGCTTAGTCTTCTGGGTGGAGAGATTGTGAGCGAGTGGCATTGGACATCTGAAACATCGCAGGATGAATCCTAGAGCTCGATAAACTCGAGCCTTTAACCCCCTGCCGAACCTTCCGAAGTCATCCTGGTCTGTTGTTGAGAATAATGCTACGGTTATGTCGAGCGATTAATTAAATATTATCCACTCTTAGTAATACAAAAGTTTGTTATCAGCTATCAAATCGCTGCCGGACGGCTGTCAGTCTGGTCATTATTATGAAGGCAGCTGTGTACCAGCTGCCAATCTAAACGTCGCTATCAGCTCAAGTACATCATTGCTGTCAATGCAGATGCATCGTCGCTATCAGCTCAGATGCATTGTCACTGTTAGCTTAGGTGCATTGTCGCTGTCAGTATATAGTGGGGTGATAAAAATTTCGACCAATAGCCGTTTTCCCAGCAAAATTCATATACTTTTAATTTATAATAATTATATATTTACTTTTAAATTACTATAGATAAATAATTAATATCTTATTTATATAAGGTTTCTTTTTAAGTTTTAATAAACCTTTTTTCTCAAGTTTAAAATAAGTACTTAAGTTTTGTTTTAAAAGATTTTAAATTTTAAATACATTTTTCTTTTTCTTTTTTGTAATTATTTATAATAATAAGATTAAACTTTATTATAAGTACTTTTAATAAGTATAACCTTTATATATAAGATTAATATAAAGTAATAATCTTTTAATTATAACTTTAATATTGAGAATATATTTCTTAGTTAGATATAATCTAATAAGGAAATAATATAATAGAAATAGAAGTAAAAAAGGAGATTTAATTATATTAATTAAAGAAAAAAGAAGAGAAAGGAAGATTACAAACTCTTATAAAGCTATAATCTTACTAGATTATATAATAGTATTATATAACTTGTTTTTTAATACTTCTTTTTAAGGTATATTCTCTTAAATATATTAGTTTTATACTTGTGTTTTCCTAGATTTTTTATTTCCGGTTACTTCTAATATCTTTTTAAATCTCTTAAAAGCTATTTTAAATAGTAGTTTTATTATTTTATTAGTAATTATTTCGGTTATTAGAATATAGATTATTTAGGTCTTCTATATCTTTACTAAATCTCAAATAAAGTAATAAACAATTATAATATACTTGAAATAATTATAAAAATAAGAGTTTTTAGCTAAAGTAATTATTTTTTAATTATTTTCTGGTATATAAACCTTAATTTTATTCTTTTTAATATATTATAATTAGCCTAGATTCCTAAAAAAAAATCTATATAATCTATTACTTTTATTTTATATATATAATAAATATAGTATTATTATATAGATTAGCGAGATAAGAATCTAAGATCTCTCTTTCTTTTTTTCTCTCTTTAATTAATATAATTGAGTTTTCTTTCTTGCCTTTATTTTTATTATATTATTTCCTTATTAAATTATATTTAATTAAAAATTATATTTGTAAAAAATTATAAAGCTCCGGTTTATCTAGATATTTAGAGAAACTATATATTATTAAGCTAAAAATATAAGAAAAAATAATAATATACTAGTAAATAAATATAGCTAGTAAACTATAAATATTTTTATTTTTATTACTAATAATTCTATAATTATAAAATATATTATTATAAATAATAAAGAATATATTTCCAAGCTCGAGCTTTTAAGCTAATTAAATTATAAAGTATAATTTTATAAGATATTACTAAAGCTTTATACTAAAGAAATAAAGTATATTATTAAACTAAATAAAAATATATATATTATAAATATAATATTTATAATATCTATAATATCTAATATATTAGTTAAAAGAAAAAGCAAAAATAAAATTAATAAAATAATAAAAGAAATAGTAAAATTAAAGCTTAAAAAAGACTTCGAGAAGCTTAAAAAGAAGCTTATTTAATATAATAAAAACGAAGCCATTACTTTATATTATATTATCTAATTATTTTCTAATAAAGATATTATTAAGATTAATAAGCTAATTTATATTAAAGTAATATAGTAATTCCTTAAAACAAAATATTATTAATTCTTTCTAGTTAAAGTTATAATAATAATTTAGAAGATTTAGAGCTTTAAATATATAAAAGAAAAAGAAATATATTTTAAATAGGCTAAAATAAAGAAATATTACTATAAATTTAGTTTTATAAATCCTATAATAAAAAATATATTTTCTAATTTTATATTATTTATAATATTTAATATAAAGCTATTAGATAAATATAAAGTAATTATTAATAAATTTTATATAATAATAGTAATATATATAAAAATTATAGAATAAAGAGTTATATTAAATAATAAAAAGAGTTAATTAAACTAGCTAGAAAAGAGCTTAAATAAAATATAGAGCTTTAGGAAATAAGTATATAAATTCTAATTAAATAAAGTAATTATACTAGTTTTAAATTAGTAATTCTTATTATAATATATTTTCCAGAAAGATATAATATTATATTCTATCTGTTTTATCTAATTAGAGAGCTTTGAAATAGTAAAAATTATTTAATATATGGGTTTTATAGAGCTATATTAATATTCCAAATTAAATAGGCTTAGTATATATTATTTTCCTAGATTACCGAATTTCAAGAGAGCCTTATATAAAGCTTATATTAGTTCTATTTCTTTTTATATTATTATTAAATTAATTCCGGCTTATAAATCCAAGATATTTTTAATTTAAAATGTATTTTTATTTTATTTTTTACTAACTTTAAATAGTATTAAGTAGCTTATAAGACTATTATAGATATAGCTCTTATCTATTAATATAAAGCTTATATTTAATAGAATATTAAGGTTTAGATTTTTACTAATTTTTTTAATACTTCTAGTATTTCTTTACTAAAAATAAAAAAATCTATAAAGAAATCTTATATTTTTTCTTCTATTTATACTAGTTTTAGAAAGATTTCTTATATAGGTTATTATAAGTTCTTTATATTATTCTAAAACTTGTTTTAATTTAATATAATTTCTTTTATTCTAAAAAATAAAAATAATAGTTCTTATTATAATACTATTAGTAAAGGTTTTTATTACTAGAAATATATTTCTAGTTATTCTTATATTACTATTTTAAGCTCTTATATTTCTATTATATAGCCTTTTTTTATTAAACTTCTAATTATTAAAAATACTATAAGTTTCTTTTTCTTAATTCTCTTTATAGATTCTAACTTTTTTTTCAAAGCATTTATTTGCTTTTAGATATTTTATTTATATTATATTTGAGATTACTAAATCTAATAAAAAGAATAATAGTAAGAGCTTTTCTACTAATACTTAAATTAAGAAAAAAGAAAAGTAATCTAATTAAATAAAAGGCCTTTTATATAAGCTTATTAATATTATAATAAAACGTTTTTAGATCTCTTATTATTAGCTCTCAAGCTCTATTATTTTAATAGATTTTATAAATAAAAGATATAAATAAAAGCCTTTTTTATATTATTTAATTATTTTAAGTTTTGTTTTAATATTTTAAAGATTTAATAAAGCTTTAAAGTTCTCGAATTTAAATCGAAATAGATTTTTAGTAAATCTATTTATAAATATACTATTTATTTAAAGATATATAACTTGAAAAATACTTTTATTATACTTTTAATATAGCTTTATATTCTAAATATTAATATAATAGAGCTTTATAATAATTCTTTTATTTTTTTTTAATAATTAGTTAAATAGTTTATTTATTATTATAGAATATAATTTAGAGTTTTCTAAAATCTAAATATAGATTTCTAAATAGCCTTTATATAGCTATAGTTTTCCTTATTATATAAGTAATTTTATATATTTTTAATTTAGTTAAAGAAATAATTATAGTATTTTATTAAATAGCTATTTATAATATTAAATCTTTAAATAAAGAGATTATATATTTATAGGTTAATTATTATATATTTAGATTATCTATATATAAAGTATTTAATATAATTTATAATTATATCTCTTTATATTTTCTATTATACTAAATTACTAAAAACCGGATTTTAAATAGATATTAAAAAGCCTAATCTATAGCTATAAAATATTCTAAAACTGGATTTATTAAAAATTAAAAGAGTATTAAAATAATAAAAGCTATATTTAATCTAATTATAGTTATAATATAAAATAATAATCTAATCTTATTTTAATATATCTTAATTTAATATAAATAAGCTTAATTATTATATTTCCAAAAATTAATTTCAGGTAATAAAGTATTAAAATACTTTTTATTTATTATTTTAAACTTCTTAGTAATCTTTTTAATATAGGTATTATAAACTAGCTAAAGCTTTTTAACTTTTTATTTTCTAATTATATAAATTCTTAAAAACTATTCTATATTTCATATATTATAAAGTTTATAAATTCTTTTAATTTAAATAATAGTTAATTAAATATATATTTTATTATTATTATAATAAAGTATTTGAAAATTATTTATATAAAAAATAATAAAGATCTTATAATTTGTATTTATATAAATATAAGGCTTTTTATTAAGTTTAGAAAGTTTAATTCTTTTAAAAATATCTGTCTAGTACTTATATTATAAAATAGAAAAGTCTTATAATTCATATAGAGCTTAATATATCTTTATTATATAGCCTAGTATTTTAAAACTATTTACTAGCTTATATATTACTATAGGCCTATTAAAATCTCTTTCTATATTAATAAATATATTTATAATATTAAATAACTTTATTTCTAAATTAAAATAAACTATAATTATATTATCTACTTAAAAAAACTTTATTATAAATCTAGTAGTATATAGAAATAAAAGTAATATCTTTTAGAAATCTCTATAAATTACTAGCCTTAAGTAATATTAAGTAATATATTTATTAGAATTAATTTTATATATAAATATTTATTTTAAAGAAATTAGAAATATATTTGCTTTATTACTAAAAATAATTCTCTAGTAATTTCGAGCTTTAAAGTTATTAATTTCTAGTTTAATATAAGATTTAAAATACTTTTTAGTCGGATATTTCTTTAGATTATTTTATATTTTTAGAGCCTTTAGAAAATTATTAATATAAATTATTCTTATTATTATATTATCTGAAATTCTCTATTCTAAATATACTTTTAATTAAACTATTACTATAATTATAGTATAAATAGTTTTATAAT